CAATTCGAAATATTTTTAAACTATATCGATGTTGAATTCATCAAAGTCGAATCACCACCAAAAACACCCGAAGAAATGGTTGTTTTTATCAAAAATTTAAGTGACGATAAAATTATTGGATCGAATGACGACATGAATTTCATCAGTCAGCTAAAAATACTTGCAAATACTCAATTAGCTGAACAATGGGCACAGAGATGGAGCGGAGAAATGTCACCCGAGGTAATTTAACCTATCATTTATATCGCTTGTAAAAAAAAAAATATTTAATGTATAATTATTATTTTATAGTTATTCACCGAATCTGAAATGAGGCTCATTTCACCACCAAAATACTCGGATATGTCTCCAATGCACGAAGTCCCTTCGCAGGCACTGGTAATTTATAAAATTTTTCAATAAATGGTTATAGATAACATTAATATATAATAAAGTATATATATACATGGTATTTACAATACATAACAAAAAAAAAAAAAAAAAAAAAAAATATACATAGTATTTAATTATTTGGACATGCATTCCATTAGAAGTAATCTCATTAAATCTTTATCCGATTCCTCCCACTCACGCCCAGTAACGTCTACAGTAAACTCATGATCTGGCCAATCAACAATCTGCTCGTTATCATACCTATAAAATTATAAATATAAGTAAAATAATTTAAAAAATATAGAATAATTTAAAAACATACTCTAAACTATAATGACCGTGAGCCAGTGTATGTATTTTATCGCCTAGCACCACTCTTTTGTCATCGTAGTTGTTGTATGTCAATTTATTTGTTTTGATTGTCATTAGCTGGTGTTTGAATGAACGTATACACATGTTCAGCTGTCTATTATTGGCGACCGACTCCATACCTTCAAACAAACATCGACGATGACCCTCAAATGTCATATGATTCTTAACCACATGACCTCTCACGCCTTTTGCGCGAATCTGCACCTTTGCATTCATATCATCAACTCCTTGGATTTTATAAGCATAGGACTTTGCTCGTAGGGCTATAAACTCCTCCATAACTCGCCCATCAGTCTCGTCTGAAAACAGACCCGGGATCTTTTTTCTTTCGGCAATATAACATGGATGGTCTCGTGGTAAATTAGAAGTATCCATACGGTCGAGCAGATTGACGTTCTTTGCAAGGTCTTCGTAAAAGTCGTCAGTGTGGATATAGTATATCAGTGAATCTACGATAACAATTATTTGTGTATGAAAATAAATATATATATATATTAATTTATTAATTTACCGGTGTCAGTATACATCAGCTCGATTTTATCACCATAGTGTGCCTTCATTACATTATAGTGGTAATCATACATCAACGTCTTAGAGATTTCCAAAACTGCAAAACCTATAAAAATTAAAATATTAGATAATAATTATGTTTGTATATATATATATATACAATACCTATATAAATAGGTTTACAAAAATCGATGATTTTATTTTCCAACGAAACCGAAGACAAATTTTCATTGTACGTTGTCGCATGTTTAAACGTGGATTTATTGACAAGTTTTTGGAATCGTTGTGGACATGATACAAGCTCAATTTTTATGCGTTTGCGAACCGATTCCATTGTTTTTCCTGAATAATAATAGTATTAATAATATTATAATATAAGATGTATATTAAATGATATATATACCGAATACTGCGTTGTTCATAAGTTTGAAAAACTCTTTTTCAAAATCATTAGTAGCCATCTTTCTCATTTCCGTGTTCATAGAGATATATTCCGCCAACCATGGTGATTGCTTAAATTGCAGTACTCTGTGTACCTATACAATAACCACGTTAAAATATCTTCTATTTCTCTTATAAAAAAAAAAAAAAAAAAATTACTTTTTCAACTTTCAACCCGTTTTTAATGGCTTGCTTTAGATTACGATAATGCACAATATAATTCTTTTTTGATTCGAAAGTCGCCATCAGTTTTTTTTACTTTTGAACCTGCAGGTATTCCGTTTTCAGGTAGAAAAGGGAGATCATTATGATGATCGTGTAATTCTTGTGGATATATCACGTCAACCTCGTAAATCCTCCCTATTGGGGAGGTATCGTCCAAATCGTTTAACCCGTTCAATGTGGGTTCAACCCATTTAAAGTCTCCGAATGGCATATATTCGGACATGGCCCAACCATACAAGTTATTGCCTGAAAAGTATATAATATTTAAACATTTTTTTTTTTTTAAAAAATTAAATTTTTTCTTACAATCTTGATACACAAGCCAGGAATTTGGTTTCCTCGAGTCAAAATCAGGTGCTTTTTCATGGTTTGCCTTAGCGTACCTCATGCTAGCTTGTACTAATCCGCCACGCATACCTGAAATAATTATAACGATTAACATTGTTTTATTTTTATAAGTTTTATTTTTACCTTTTTCAAATGCTAAGACCATATCATAGTCCGTTAAGAGCTCAAGTTTCACGGCAGTTTTCTTCAGCATGCAATCGAAGGCCATACCTGGAGCTGTATAATAATAAGCTGGATCTATAGAGTAAGCTTTCAGACATATGTCTCTAAAATTTTCAAAGACGTCGGCCAGTAATAATACGTCAATCTTTAAATAAAGGTCGCTATACTCTCCAAGCGTTTTACATTTGAAATGATTCCAAACCTCCAAAGCATGTTGATACTCGGTATTATCGATATTAGACTCTGTGAGCGAGCTATAAAAGTTATTCATTGACGGTAAACTTGTTTCATCGAGCTTTTCCCAACTATCAGTGTACTCGTAAGGATATACCCCCTTACGAGTAACTAAAGACATATCAGCTGGTCTAAACACTTTAGCCGTTTCACGGAATTTCGTCATGTTTGGTGTTACAAGGTTAGCGGCTAGATTCGACAAGCTTGATGCCATAAAACGAAATGTATCGATAAATCGAACAGTGAAAGTATTACTTACATACTTTGAAAAGGATATAAACTTCTCTTCATTGTTCGGTATAACTGATATGGTTTTTGAATCGTATCCGAGTTCGGTTACGATAAAATGCGCATCGTAATTCGTAAGATTATGTAGAAAGCATGGTACAAAATTCGGTTGTTGAAGATCCAAGTTGCATTTATTACATAAAGTATGCCGGAACTTTCCAGACAGGTGACAATGGTCCCGAACTTTCTCACCCCCTCTTATATCACATTTACAAAAATCACATTTTAAAGTCGCCTTATGTTTACACCAGTCTTCTTTGCTCATAATTATTGGTTCATTTGTCTTCAACAATTTTTCAATTTTTCGTGTTAATTCTGTAACCTCTTCAATGAATTTTTTCGCAACCTCCTGTTGTGTTTTACATCCTCTGAAAATGATTGGCGTTGTAGATATATCGAATTTATCTAACAAATGCATTGGGACATCCTCCGAAGCAACTACTTTTAATCCGAAACTCATTGGTTTGTGTTCTTGAAAGATGGTTGTATTTTTACTTTTTTTCTGATTTTTTTTTTCTAATAGCGCCTCAAAATCAGCATATATGACAATAGGATGCCTTACTGTATGCTTCCAGGCTTTAAACTCTAAAATTTCACCCTCCGTCGGTAACACAGGTAATATCGGTTTGTGTATACCGCATACTTTTTTGTGCTGATCCAGTGCCACCTGTCCCTTTAATTTATACTTTGAATTCTGATTATCAAATGATACAAAACATCGTTTGCAGAAATATGTATGTCCGTCATGCCGAGTTTTTTGTGAACGGACAAGACGGGAAAAATTAGATATATAAACATAATGTGAACTTTCACTATCTGTTATAAATAATATGTCAAAATGATCTTCTTTTTCATTATCTGCAACTTTTAATGGAAAAACGGTATGAGTAGGAAATTTTAATGGTGGTTGTAATTTTTTCTCAATTCCATAGATATTAACTGAGACTAATGGATTATTACGCTCAAATATTTTTACATCTGACAGGGGTGTGGGGAATGAAATTCCATCGAAATTATATTTATCTACGTGTTGATAATAGTTAACACCAACACGATATTTTGGGCGTTCTGTGACATGTTTTGCTAATATAGCCCATTTAAAACACTGCTGGTCTGAATTTTGAGGATTGATTGTTGCCCTTCTTCTATCAATGCTAGCTGGTAGTGGCAAATATGATGAACCCGACATTGGTGAAAATGTATATATTCCTAATAACATTCCATCGATGTTTTGGAAAGAAAATCCAGAGCCCTTACTTGTATATTCCTCCTCCTCACATTTCAATTTATTAAAACTTTCTTCTAAAATTGAGTGTACATTACTATCCGCGAAAATCTCCCTGGCCGAGGTTTTAAAAGCTCTATTCTCGGACGAATTTTCCACGTTAGGTATACTATATGTGCTCTCAATTTTCAAATTAAACTTGATTGGTAGATTGTGAGTATTAAAGGTCTCTAACAATGCAGGTGTGATGGACTTGTAGAACTCTGAATAATTTTGTATATTATTCAGATTTTTATAATAATACCATACGACCTTACGATTATGGGCTGATTGAATTTCTTCGAATCCTATTGAATTTACTTTCTGGAGTCTAACTTTTTTTGCTTTTACTACAGTTTGAGTATTTTCTATGTGTACACGTTTACTACCTATCACTGTATAATAATCTAAAATAATAAATACGAATAAGTTACATTTGAACGCTAGTAGAAAATACGTAGAAAATAAACCTTTTATTTATCATGGGGTGACTAGACCGTAATTATTAAGTATAAATTAACTCTGATTGTTCTCTAGTTAAAATAATGTATTCATATAAAAACTAACCTTGCCCAGTATGTGTACTTTCAAATTCATCCATCGCATTCATACAGAAATGATCCTCATCTTCAGGTATTAATTTATTCATTTTTTCATTTGACAGCATAGCATTTTGGTTACACGGTCCAACAGGTATGTCAGGGACATATATTCCAGGAGCTATTTCTATATCGCTAGTATTGCCTAAAAAAAAAAAAATAAAAAAAATATTAAAATGTAGGATATAATAAATGGTTAAAACCTTACTTGTCACATTGCATAGCCCTGCATCTTCAGCATTGTCTAGAATCTTAACGCACATATCATCATACCCATCGTTAAAATCTGCGTTTGACTTATTAGATCTATTCGGAATGATCTCGATATTATCTTGAATGCGACCCATAGCTTGTAAAATAAATATTAAATTGAATTTTTGAAGAAAAAAAAAAATATAATTATTTAAATAAACTTACCGTGAATGTTTTTCATATGTCTGCTTAAAATATCTTTCCGAGAGCATTTCTTATTGCAAATACTGCACACTATTTGGTATCCATCATGAGTTTTCATATGTCTGAGCAAACTGTCTTTACGCGTGAAAACCGACGGACACTTTTCACATTTAAACATTATAAAAACGAAATAAAAACAACAAAATGTTTAAACTCTTGTAAAAATTTTAAAACGCTGAAATTTTTTTAAAGTCGAAACGAACTAGAACGATAAATGTGTCGGGACAGACTAAACCTAACCAGCTACACTCGGTGATATATAAGCAGAGGTACGCTATGAAGAACTAATGCTTCTTGTATTATTAGTTTATATTAAAATATAATTAAGTAATAGATTATTATAGTATAGAACTATAATAATATATTATAATGTCATACTCAGAGTTTAAAGACTTTTGTACTTCGTGTTGGCGTCTGGGGAGATTTGAGTTTATCGTGATAAACAAAGACTGTGAACGTGACAACGGTCGATATCGTCACGGATTTGACACATTCGTCGTTATATAAAGTGTTGTTTTTATGAAAAATACCTCATTCACAGTCATGGCTGCTAGTGGTGAAGTACTCAGTGAACTGATTAAAGCTAAAGAAAATATCAAACGCAAGTATACCGTATAACAAGGAAAAGCCGATATCCATTCACTAGTATCAGAAACGTTAAGTCCGATTATCGAACCATTGAAACAAAATATTAATAAAACAACATTTCAAGCTCCGCCCACACAGCAAGACAATGAAGATTCTCAATATTTTAACGACACAGGCGATTCGCAAGCTTTTAAAATAAGCGACTGGTATAAATCTTACGATATAGACAAAACGTATGGACCTAAAGAACAAAAAAATGGAAGAGTAGTTTTAGGTAAAAAAGAAATTAATCTTGTCGATAATACGTTGACTATTGAAGACATATCTTACCCGCTAACACAAGGGCTTGGTAATTTAATATTTTCAAAAAATCCTAAATTATACACCAAAAACGATTTAGATGCATACAAGTCTATATTAACTCAGACATCAGCACATCTCACAGCAGACGGGAGAAAAATTAAAAAAGGTGGAAATAAATATTATGATATAATCCAAAATTTGTACCCTTCTGGTGGTGTGCTATCTATGAAATTACGAAAACATAATTTAGTTTACTGGAACGACCCTAACGAGCTAGTCGAAAGATTGAAGTTACTATTGGCGTCAAAGGCAGCTGGTAATACAGGCGTTTCAAACGAAATAATCTCGATTTTTGAAGAACTGCGTGAAGCAGGATTAATAAATCGTATTCCAAATGTCTAAACGTGAAATCGCAGTCGAATTACACAAACCGACAAGAAAAAATTATACAAGGCGTAGAGTTAATGTCTACGGCAAAAACGATCTATGGCAGGCCGACTTGGTCGAAATGATACCGTATTCTAAAAAAAACAAGGGCTACAAATATATTCTATGTGTTATTGATTGTTTTACAAAGTTTGCTTGGGCGATACCGTTAAAGTCTAAAACTGCTAAAGAAGTTTCCAGCTCAATGTCTAAAATACTGCATAAACGCACACCAAAACTATTACAGCTCGATAATGGAAAAGAATTTTACAATTCTACATTTGACGCGTTGATGAAGAAACACAACATACATAAATATTCGACTTATAGTACTATGAAAGCGTGTATTGTGGAACGTTTCAACCGCACATTGAAAGAAAAAATGTTTAGAGAGTTTACGGCACGAGGTTCGCATGAATGGATTTCTATTTTACCTTCATTGATTAACGAATATAATAATTCAAAACATAGGACAATAGGAATGACACCAGTGCAAGCTGATGCTAATCCTACGTCAGTGGAAATAAAGCAACGAAAAATTATTGACGGAAAAATTAAATTTGACATAGGCGATAACGTCCGTATTAGCACATATAAAGGTGTATTTGCAAAAGGTTATTTACCGAGCTGGTCTACAGAAATATTTAAAATTGTTAAAATTAGTGAAACATTACCTACTACTTATCAGCTACAAGATTATACTGGAAAACCGATTGCTGGTTGCTTTTATTCTGAAGAAATATTGAAAACGAATTATCCAAATGACTATTTAGTCGAGAAAATTATACGTAAGAAGGGGAATCAAATTTTTGTGAAATGGCTCGGGTTCGATAATACACACAATAGTTGGATAAATACAAGTGACATTAGAAAATAGTGTCAGTCGAGCTATGGACATGAACGTGTTTGGTAGTTCTCAGTCTAGTGAAACAAAAAAAATTATTTCAAATCTCGAACAGTCGAACAAATCGTTTTCGTCTAAATTAGATAAAATCGAACATTTACTTGAAGAAAATCATAAATCCGTACAAATTCAAGAAGAACAAGTAGAAACGATACAATTAACGTGTGTACAGATAGCTGAGCATATGACAAGAGGCGAAGTATCATTACAATCAATCAAAGAAAGTACAGAAGGGTTGAAAAACCTAATACCAGCTATACTCAGTCGACTAAATACTATTGAAACTTATTATAAAGACAAACCATAATGTCTTCAGCCATCTTGGATATGCAATGTGTACTTGGCGTCAAAAATAAATACATGGTTAAAGAAATGTCTATAGTAGACACAGAAACATGGGCGACCCAGCACTGGATTTTTAAACATTCAAACTCGATGCAGGATAACAAAAGTCGTAAAACCAACAAGTGGTTAGAACGTAATTATCATCAACTATCCATAGATTACGGCGACGTTGAATACGAGGAGCTAAGTAGAATATTGAATTCATTAAAGTTCAGTTGCATATACGTCAAAGGTGAACAGAAAAAACAAGTTCTTATGGAGTATATACCGCACGTTGCACTCATAAACATTGAAGACTTGGGCTGCCCACGTTTGGGCCAAATATGTGATGACGAAACTCTACCTTGTTGTATTTTTCATATGGAATTTAATCCTAAACAATGTACATTTTATAAAGTTTTTGCTATAAGAAAATGGTTTATAAATAATTCTTAAAAATTGTGAATGTATGTACATTTTATTTAATAAACAAAATAATATTTTAACATTGGTTTTTTTTATTTTACATAGGTAACCTAAATTTTTCAATAAATGGTTATAGATAACATTAATATATAATAAAGTATATATATATATATATATACATAGTATTTACAATAAAAAAATATACATAGTATTTACAGATATAGTATTTACAAAATATAGACATGGTATTTACAAAATATATAAATGATATTATTTTGACATATATCCCTGCAAAAGCAATCTCATTAAGTCTTTCTCTTCCCCCGTCCAGTTATGTCCTTCTTCATCCAATTCAGGCCAATCATCCTCGAGTTCGTCTTTCCTATAAAATTATAAATATTATAAGTAAAAAAAATATATAAAATAATTTAAAAACTTACCCTAAACTATAGTGTCCGTGGGCCAGTGTATGTATTTTGTCGTCTAGCACCACTCTTTTGTCATCGTAACTGTTGTACGTTAGCTTTCTCGTTTTTATAGTCATCAACTGGTGTTTGAATGATCTAATCGATACATTCTCTTTGTATAACTCCAGTCCAACTTCCCCAAACAAACACTTCCTATGGTCCTCGAGTGTCATGTGGTTTTTAACCACATGAGCCCGAATCCCTTTCGCCTTAATGTTTTCAC